CTATCCACAGTTGGAAGCAGAGTTTTGGGTTAACCCTTGTTCTGACCGAGCAAAGCTCATATTCTTTCATTTTATGGGGATGCTTTCCTGCTCATCTACCAGGCTAAGAGTTGCCTGGGATGGCAGGTCCATGCTATTTTGTGACCACTGATGTAGGGAGCATGCTGAAGTGCAACTCAAGGACTTTTTTCACAGTAAGAGTGGGGAAATATAAGCTGGTAACTTCTTTCTCTTTGGGATGTAGATGATAGCATGCCTTCTTAATTATAGCAGTTCTAATTAAAAGCTAAGGCTTGCATTTTATTGATTTGAATTCTACAAGTTGAGTAGGCATTGTGTTATGCACTGCTGCCCTTTTTGTGTGTGTGGATTATATACATACTGTCATGATAATTTCCACACTGCACATAGTGTCAGTGCACTACTGGGCATGTATCTTCCTTTTCTTTAAAATGGGAACAAGTTTCCTTCCAGTTTTATTTCTTTCCTATGTATGTGTGCACCTTCAAGTTGCTGGTTGACTTGTGTCAGTTCCATGAATTGAATAGAGTTTTCTTAGGCAAGGAGTACTCAGAGGTGGTTTGGACAGTTCCTCATACAGCACCGGGTATTCATTGGCAGTTTACCACTCAAGTATTAACCAGGCTTCCAAGATCAGACAGGATACACTGCCTTTAGAGTATTGGTGGTAGGCCTCACATTTCGTTCAGTACTACAAATAGTACCTACACTCAAGCAAGCACGTACTGCATTGTAAGAACTGCATTTTCTGTGAAATGAAAGCAGGTACACTAGCAAACACACTTTGTGTGCTAGGGAAATGTTATATGTTCAAAGCAAGCTCAGCTCCATGGGTTGAAATGTCTAGATCCTGGCAGAATAGTAACAACTGAGCATTTGCCCATGAATAAATGTTCTCATTTTCTAAGCAAGTAGCTCCCAGAACATTCTCCATTTCTTTCTACTTGCTCTGTTATAATTTATGTGAGTATGCCTCTGTTTATATTCTGACTGGGTAGGGTGATTTAAGAAGGAAAAGTCCTGTGCTGTGAGACTGTCACTCTGTGGTGAAAACCAAGGCTTTGGGATAGGGAAGACAGCCGTATGGGATATCTTCTTACCGTGTGTTGTGTGACCCTCTCCCTTGACGTGATCTGAAAGGCCAGCCACGCAAAGAAGGATGTGTGGATGAAAGGGCTCCAATGGCCTGCTATCCACTCATGTCTACATAAATAGCTTCTCTGACGTTAAGTCCAAAAGCACATGAGAAGGGTGTAGAGTGGGCCAGTAGCCTATAAATAACTCAGGGCTATTTTAAACATTTGGGTTTTGAATTAACATGCTGGTAAATACAGGCCTTGCTCTTGACCTGGCTAGAAATATCTTAAAGGCTGCAGTGATATGCATCCATGGACTTATCACTGTAGCTTGGGAGTGATGGAGAAATTAAAAAGCAATCTTGAATATGCAGGAATTTGCCTTTACTGAAGTCAGGCCATTAGTCCATTTAGCTCCAGTCCGGGAAGATTATAGTCCTGCAGATGCTGATGAGTTATAATTACAACCACATTAGAAAACATTACTAAGCATTAGAGAAAAGGCATACATTTTAAAGCTTTTCTAAACAGCTGTGGACACCTTTACATAGTGACTACCAAACGCAGCGGCCAAACACTAATCAAGGAACATGAAAGGCACTGCAAGCTACTTCAACCAGAGAAGTCAGCCATAGCGGAGCATTTGATGAACCAACCTGGACACAGAATTTTATTTGAGAACACAGAAATGTTGGACCACTTTAACAACTACCATGTCAGGCTACACAGAGAAGACATTGAAATCCACAAGCATGTGGACAATTTCAACAGAAAGGAAGAAACCGTGAAAATGAACAAAATCTGGCTATCAGTACTAAAACCCTCTAAAATTATAACAGTAAATAAAAAACAAAACTCAAACACGGGGAAACTTCAGACAAGAACAATCAGGAACACCTAATCACCTCTCAAGAAAGGAATTTCCCAGGCATTAACAAGCCACACCTAAAAACTGTCGGGCCATCAAATGCTAATCAAGGTGGCCAACTGAAACACTCACACCTAGCTCCAACAGACAAGAGTTCTTTCTCCCATCCTGGACCTTCCACAGATATATAAACCCAATTTTCCTTGTTTCCAACAAACCTCACAACCTCTGTGAATGTTTGCCAGAGATGCAGGTAAAACATCAGGAGAGAATGCTTCTAGAACATGGCCATACAGTCCGAAAAACTTGCAACAACCCAGTGATTCCAGCCATGAAAGCCTGTGGTATAATTTGGCACCTGAACACACCCAATGTTATAGTGTGATGGATATTACTTGGAGTACATTTTACAAAATGAGTACCAGTAATGCAAAGGACCCAAGCATCGTGTTTTGATTATTTTGGCAGCCTTGAAAATGAAGTCAGGAACTGGTATCTGAATGGAGCAAACCTCTATCCCTGCCCTACAATTGAGTCTTTAATTGTCTTGCATAGGGTAGTTGGGTCCAAAGGCAAGGTGAAACCTAAGAACTATTTTTAAAACAGGAACCTGGAAGAAGACCAGTAGCTTAGACTATAGTCTTATACCCAGACCTCAGAAATGGCATATGATCCTCTCTTATCATGTTGCAAATGGCTGAAAGCAATTTACTGTACTTATTTGAATCTAATGCTCACTGTTTTTGGCTAAATTACCTTCCCAAAATTAGATTTGCATAACACGGTAATGTTAGTGCTGAGCCAAAGCAAAAGGGGAAGCTACTTCAGAAGCATCTGGAGATTCTGTTTGAGGGACATCATCTCAAATTTTATTGCCATTGCTCAGTGCTATGCAATCCTGGGATTTGAAGTTTGGTGAGGCTTCAGCATTCTTTGGCAGCCCCCATGATCCCAAACTGCAGCCCCTGACCCCATAGCATTGTGTCAGGGCAATTAAAGTGTCAGGGCATTTTACAGCATAGATGCACCCCAAGGTTTTCTTTTCCATTGCTAAAAGCTTTGGTATTCTAACACTTTTGTTTTTAAAGAAGGAATTCTAAGCATGCAGCCACTGTAATTCATACCTTTTTAGGGTAAATTACAAAGAATCCACTTTTTGCTGCTTCACATTACATTTGCCAGCAAATATATATTTTTTGATTTCAGGGTTTTAAAAACTGAGCTGCATATTAGATTCAGTGGTGCATTAGACTCAAATAAATATGGTAATCCCTTTGCTTGGGTAATCCAGAAGATGGTATGGCACGCATGGCTGAATCTGATGAGTATCCAGAAGAATGTGAGCTCATTTGAAAGAAAAATACCTTTACTTCTCTCCCCTCCTTGTTGCAGTTTCCCTCTTTCTGATATCCCACGGTCTCCTGCCTGAGGAGAAATTAAAACAGTACAAAGATAACACATACATGAAAATAAAAACTTCTAAAAGCAATCTAGAATTCAGTTTTAAAACCACAGTTTCAAACACTGATTGTCATGTGGAACAGTACTGTTTTGTCCTAACAGCTCTGAAGCTCTCATATTTCTTGGTGGGTTCATATGGGAAGAGATATCTTGGCCTCCAAGATATTTAAGGCTTTGTAAGAAAGCACCAGCACCTTGAATTGAACTTGGAAGCATGTTGGAAGCCAGTTGTAGTTCTTGCAAGTCCATTGTTGACACCAGTCTAGCAGATTCATTTGCACTGAATGCTTTTAAAGGGAATCCCCATCTAGGATTTACCTGTATTATAGTAGTTTATTTGAGAGTTAACTGAGGCATGAACCACTGTTGGCAGATTATCTTGCAATATGTTTATGGAAAAAAATGACAATTCATATTGGAGGCATAGCTGTATGTACAGATGTGTTTTGCATGCAGAAAGTTCTAGTTTTGGTGCTCAGGTTGAGAAATGTGGACACTGCCCTGAAACCATGGAATGCTTTTGCCACTAAGTGCGTCATTGAAATTCCTGAAGTAAACAAACCAGATGAGAAAGTATGGTTGAGGACCAGTGTGACTTGCTTAAACTCATGCTGCAGAAGAGACTGTGACAGTGTTCTAGCAGGTATCCTTGAACAGAGATGAAGAATTGGAATAAAGCTAACATTGAAAGTCAGTGCATATTTACTCAAGAGTTAAGTCCCAGGGTGTTCATTGGGGCATGCTTTTATTGTACATAGGTATACTCTATAAGGCTGTTCTTGCTCCCTGGGATAAACATCATAATGCAAAATGAGTATGAATTCTGAGTAAATATGTGGAATTGCTTCACAGAGCTGCACTGGCATAGGTTTAAATTAAAAGATATAGTAGAAGGAATCTGAGGACACAGTGAACATTTGAAGCCCAAAATGCTCTATTCTTTACTTGCACTAGTCTATGTTATTAAAATGGAGGAACAAGGGTGGCCTCCATTTGTATGAGCCAGTAAAGATGAAACCTCAGAAGATGAAAGATGAGAGGTTGAACAAAAATCTCAGTGGCTGGTAAGGGTACAGCTTACTTGGGTATAACAGTATGGTCAGTATGCATACTTTATCCACAGTGCAAACTGTTGGGATTGTTATGGGTATAACATGTTGCCTTGGTGCATTTTAAAAAACAGATATACCAAGCTTTGATATCTGTAAATGTGAATGTAGGATTACACCTTTCAGACGGAGGTTTGTTGTGGTTGCGGTTTAAATCACATCCTTAAAGAGCACCCCATTCAAAACCACTGGGTTTAATAAATCAGTCATCCTGTCTCTGTAGGTGGACACTGACATCCACAACACAGAAGCAGCCATTCCACCCCCTTTTGTTCTTGACTCGCCTTCCTTTGCTTGGCTTGGCTGCCGGCACTGCCTTTCCCCAGGGGAGCTTTTCCACTGACCCCAGCGGTTGAAAAGCAGCTTCTGATAGGCAGGCAGCTCCTTTTGCCTGAACATCCCAGCTCCCAGCGAGCTCAGCCGGGTTTATTTATAGCTAGCTCCTCCCCAACAACCTTCTATTTCGAGTCACCCCCGGCAGAAGCCATCTCGCTTGGTGGCAGGGATGGGAAGCAGTCGCATGCACGGATCCGTCTCATGGAAAAGGAGCCTTCATCAGATTGACAGGCAGCTGCCGCTTTCCTTTTGTTAGAGTTCTCTCCTACAGACTAGATCCTGGATGTTTTGTTCTGTTTTTTTTTTCATTTTTAAAAACCTTCTCTTATATTTTAAAGAAATGTTGTAAAATGTGTCGTTTCCGGAATAAATCAAACTGCACCTGAGATGTAAACCCTTCCCTTTCCTTATTTTTTTGCCTCTGCTTCCTTCTGTATTTTGAGATTCATCTCTCCTATTGCTCTGGAGTTGAGAGAACAGTTGTCTCCTTTCCACTTCTTCTTCCTACAAGGATTTTTTTCATCTCTAAACACTTTTTATTTTTCTTTCCTGGTGGCTCCAATTTCTTCTTGGAGGAGGCCGCCTTACCACCACGACCTCCCCTTGTTTCAGTTGTGAAACAATTTAAGTTTTACTGTACCACAAGGAGGACAGATGTGTGCATGTGTTTCTGACTAGTCTTAATAGGGGGATGCTGGATGACTTGAAATGGCAGTCTAATGTAAGAAAAGGCAACCCCCCCTCAAAGCCTTTGATTGTGCAACGGATTGTCATAAAGGAAACTGAAGTGGAATAACAGTGTGCGACCGCTCCTTGGCATGCTTCTTGTATCCTCGGTGTGGGGACTGCCAAAGATGTTGCAGACAATTTATGAAACTGAATCGTGTTTCTCTTCAGATGGAGTCTCTGGGCGCGAGCCATCCTTGGAACTCCTGTCGCGGGCACAGATCCATGCCATACCTGTGGCAGGTGAGTGTTTTAAGGATCTTTAAAATGAGACTTTAAAATAACGGTCTTAACTATATTCAGGTATGCTTGAGGTTGGTTTGCAACTAGGGACAAAGTACTTGGCATGTTTAGGACATCAGAGAGTTCCTGAGCAGTCTACAGAGGCAACTGAGCCTCAGTGTTGGGACTCCCTGTTCCATAGAATCTGGCCTTTATGGGCCTGCAAGCAAGATGGAAATGAATCTCAGGTACCTATCCCATTTGGAAAACATACAGTCTTTGTGCAGAACTGGTGCCTGACAGATTTCAGTATGCTTATATGTAGAGCCATCAGTTTTCATACTGACCACTTGAAAATTCTTGCAAATCTGTGAGTGAGGATTGAATTTGAATCAGACCTCAGTTCCATAACATTTTGAAATGCTAATGTCCTGTCACTGAATATGTAACAGACTGTATGTGCAGAAAAGTGTCTTTGATCATAGGAAAAATGTTTTCCAGTCAAAGGTAAAGAATCACAATCGCCCTCTCTGTGCTCTAAAAGATTAGAGTGCCAGGTTTCCTATCCAACGTAAGGCCTAACACCTCTGTTTAAATGAACAAAATAAATAGCACTATAGCACTCCACCCTAGAAGGTTATTGCTAATCTCTAAAACCATTTCTTTATTATCCTGTAATAGATTGGGCCCTTTGCTGAATAGAAAATACAGAACACTTGAAAGGCAGAGCCCAAAAACAGTATTTGGGACTCAGAGGTCATTTTGAAATTTAGGTAGCAAAATGGTTTCGAGATGTGTGTTTTAATTTTTGAGACTTTTAGGAAACTGTGGAAGTGTTTTGACCATTTCACTATCATTAAAGATTGCATTGCATCCCCTTGGCTGTAATTCTGTGTACAAATATGATTTTAGACCACCTACATGTTTTTGCACATGTGCTTTATTTACTGAATAGGGGGGTCTGTCACTCTTCAAATTTACTTCCAACTATCCTAAAGCAGGGAAAATCACATTTCAGAGCTGAAGTACATTTGAAATAAACCCACTGTGGTGAGGATGAAGTAAACCTGTTTTAAATTGGGAAATCAGTGGTTTTTAAACCACAGCATGGACTTCTGTTGGGTTGAGCTCTGCTCTATAGAATACTTAGCATTACAGTTCATACCAGCTTGATCACACTTCATTTGGTTTATGACTCACATGAATGTGAAATTAAGCCTTGGATCTCCCAATGAGTTCAGCATTGTTAGATTAACACTTGAGAATAATTTCATTTCAGGAAGGAATTACTTTTCTTTCCCCCCCATAATCATTGGGAAGCAAATATTGTGGAGGATGTGTGCTTGCTGTGCAATTCATAAGACTAGTTTCTGAAGAGGCAAATTTCTGGAGTTATGTTTTTAAAGATATATAAGTGTGTGTGTTTTTGTGTGTGTGTGTGTGATATATATATATATATATATCTCCTCCTTTTACAGTTTCCCAGCGATTTCCCATCTAGATTGTTGATCAAGCTGACATTGTGTGACCTCAGATTGTTCTATAGACCTTTTCTGGAGCAATCTCAAAAGATTATTTTTAAAAACCTTTTATGGAGGTTATATTGTGATACCTGTCTTGAGCCATTACCTGCAATCCATTGATGTCAGAATGGTTCTGTATGCCACACACACATGTGTGATCTGGCACAAGTACAGCATGATATCCTTTCTATCCAGCTGTTGTTTTTTTTATATGAACCAGGTGGTGGTCTAAAAATGTAAAGTTAGGTCCGAAAAATAATTTGAACAGTTTCTTCAGGGTTATTTAAGGACATGTATACACATACGTGAATTGGCTTTGATTCTTATCTGCTTGTTGATTTCACCCAGCAAACAGCACAAACTCTTCACTGTCAACCATTGGATGGACATAACTGTGAGGTAATACACTCCAGTCAACATTGTGTTGTTAGCCCCAGCCAAAGTAGATCTGTGCAATCAATAGTAACTAGGTAAGCCAGCTCTTACGTAAGGTCTGTTCATTCACCATATCTCTTTGAGCTGGGACTAACAGTAGGCTTCTGCCTTGGAAGGCCAAGGGATACCTCTCCCATAGATGAATGCAGCTAACATGCTTTTTGCCAAGGCCACATGCTCAGTCTCATCCTGTTTAGAGCATGGGTAACTTGCACACCCTTTTGTACTGGTGAGATAGATGTCAGGATTGACACTTGGGCCTTCAATGATAGCTCATACTCTGTGTTGCTGAGTGTTTGTATCTGGCAAAGGCACAGAAGGGGAGGGGAAGAGAGTGACTGATCATATTTTATGGTTTATTTGTTCTTTTCTCCTTTATTGTAAGGCTTGACTCATTCAAACAGTTTAAAACCAAGTTTCAAGGGCACAATACTCTTATTATGGGGAAGAAAGCTCTTTGTTTCATGGATTCTGAGGGAGGTATTTTTGGATAATCCTTTCTGAGATGGGATGAAATGGTCCTTTGATATTTTAAAGGGCTGGACTTCCATAGAATTCCTGTAGAAAACTTGTCAGTAATAGAACCTGCCCTGAAGAATGGGATTTTTGTGTCTTAATTGTAAACCTAGTCATAGCATAAAAGCCTTTATAAGTTACATTTAAGAGAACAGTGCCTAGAATCTCTGAATCAGTGACTTTGTAGTGTAAGATTCTGGGTTTTGTAGTCCCAAAAGTAATGTTCCCAGAGTCTTTGTATTATATAGTATGAATGAAGCTGCTGTAACAAAAGAGGGTTTAAAAAGATGCCCTTCTTCATTTTTTTGGAAAGCTGGATAGGCATTGTATTTCTGAGCATTTGACAGACATCCCTTTGGTATAAAACATTATAATGAATATTACCTGAGACTATCTAGGAATTTTTCTCCAGTTTACTAGCTTCTCTACTTTGTATATTCCTGGAATTTTAAAAAGTACTGGGACCTAGTATAGTTAAATATATTACAGGTATCTTGGGAAATACCTGTGTCTTCTAGAATATGTTAACAAAATGTACAAATATGCTAAACCAGTGTTTCTCAAACTGTGCTCCTCCAGTTGTTTTGGACTTAATCTCCCACAAATCCCAGCTAGTTTACCAGCTGTTGGGAATTGTGGGAGCTGAAGTCCAAAACATCTGGAGGAGCACAGTTTGAGAAACTCTCTCTAAACATTTCTACACATAAATTTGGGGCTCGGAAATGGTATACGTTGCTTAAGGATGTTATATAATCTCATTTCTTGGAGATTTCAGGTCTTGTCTACATCTGCTGCAAAAAGCAGTTGGGGATGAGGCAGGAGAAAGTACTGTACCATTGAAGATTACAAGATGGATATCATATTTTTGAATGCATCACTATGCAAAGTCAAAAGACATAAGACATCCTCTGGTAACATCCACCTTGCAGATAGACTAGACTTTCTTTTTCAATGTCCAGTTTTCTACTGACATCATTTATTTATTGATTTCATATAACTGAGCATTCAGATCATGACTCCCCTCCACCAAATCTGAGGTCTGGGGTAAGATGCTAAACACTGTCCATTTAATATCAGAACACTTTGTTCTGGTGCAATTGTAAACCAGGACTAAATCTTGACAGCCATACCATACATAACAAGAAGAAAAATAATAAAGCTGTTTAAGAGATGGCAAAATAGAAATATAGGTGGGTTGCATAAAAGCTGACATGGCTTTACAGAGTTTAAAAATGGAATAGGAAAACAAAACAAAAACATACTCTCAGTTTCTCTTATTTTTACAACAAGCAGCATGAGTGAGATGTGATTCCGGGGTAGTGCTTCTACACAAACAATTTATTGTTTCAGAAGTTGAGAGAAGGTTGTTGAGTCTCATAGTTGAGTGGATATTTGCGTCATGCTGGAGGACCAAGGGAAAGTGGCATAGACAAAATTGTGAGGTTTGGATGTTTTTCCAGATTGTAGGATGGAGATTTTGAAGAAAAGCTTGTGTAGATTTCTATCATTAATGCTAAAGGAAAATGTCCTCCTGGATCCAGCCCAGTGTCTTGCACCCTTAATTTTATCACTCAAGAATAGCCATTTGAACATAGTTTAGGCATTGTATCTGGGCTGTCACTTGTCTAAATTTTGGACCATGTGCACCCTTATCCGCTCTTCAATTTGTAATGTGACTTAAGAAAAAGCAAAGTCATGAACAGAATAATTGAGGAAATTATATAATGTTGTGCTTCTATAATTCATTTTGGCTTCTAAGATCCTAGCCAGTTTTCAAAGTGGATGCTGTTTTCCAGCAAGCATTGGAAGCAAAGCAGTACTGGAAGGGAGGAAACAACTGGAAGTTTTGTTGAAGCAGAACTCAGGAAAACATAACCATGAAGGAGGCATTGAAGATCCTGTGCACACATTTACACCACACACATATTCATTATGGTGAAATCACGAGCATTTTCACCCTTCTCACTTACCATTTCCAAAGTTTAATCAGACATGGCTTGTGTACTTTTTCTCTCAAGCAACGATAGAGGAAATTTGTTTTTCAAACAAGCTGAAAAAGATTCTAAAGCCAAAGTTCTACAGATGCATATTTAGAATGCTAGACACTGCTAGCATCTCAGTCTGTTGCCTTGGAAAGTATTTGCAGTGTAATCATGGAGACATGAAACATACACAGCCTTCGAGTTTAGAAATCTAAACAACTATAACAGTTTTCTCCAGCAATCAAAATTGTCAATTTTGATTGCTGGAGAACATTGCTATAGTTGTTTAGATTAGTATTCAGATTGCAATAGTTGTTTAGATTAGGATTCCGATTAACTTGGTATCTGGCTTTACAGTTGCTTCTGTTTTTTTTCCCTGCAGAGTTTCCAAACCACACTCTTTGGGGCTCATTCAGACTGATTAAAAAGACCAGACAGACCCAGTTTTTGTTCCTCTTCTGTCTGATTTTATTTTGGAGAGCTATAAATGTTTTGTTTATTCCAGAAATATTTTCTGTCAGCTCCTGGTGTGATCAGAGATCTTTTTTTATACTAGCTCCCTAAG